TATATATATATATATATATATAAAGAAAAGAAAAATAAATTATTCTTTTGTTCTGCAAGTGACAGTACAAGACTTACACTGTTATATATATATATATACATACAGTATATATATATATATATAAAACAGTGTATATGTCTTGTACTGTCACTTGCTGAACAAAAGAATAATCTCTTTTTTAAAAAATCAATCATTTATAAGTGTTTATATTGGTCATAGTCTGTAGATGGCACTGTATGATTTGCTTCATTTCTTTACTACATTTACCCTCTCTACAGCCGCATTATCACAGCACAGGCAACGCAATCACATCGCCACTAGTCTTCCTGTCCACTTCCTCTTCTGTTTTGTTCCCCCGAACCCTCTCTCTCCCTCCATGTCACCATATTCTCTTTCATCCATCTCACATACTCCCTTGTCTGTCTACAGACTTTTTTTTAACATGCGCTGTCCATCTTCCCTCTGCTCCATCACTCTTTCCACGGTCCTCTTCTGTTTTTCTTTTTCTTTTTGTAGCACTCCACAGGATGGAGCAGATTTCACTCACCTGAAAGGATCATGGAGGGTTTTACTCACCTGTAGTCTTGTAAGCCTTCCTTATCCCTCATTGGAATTGTGTTACTGGCGAGAGAGAGAGATGGTAATAAATAAGTTATAGTTTAAAAAAAAAAGTTGCAAGCAAAGTATATGATAAAGTAGATGGTTCTTACAGGCATTCAGAATGTACACACAGAGAGGAAAATATATAGTCAGTTAGTCATTATTGCACCAAACTGGAAGAAGGGAAATAATATAATATAATATAATATAATATAATATTATATTTTAGTGAAAATTAAAATGTGTCCATTTTGAGAATAGTAGCATTGGCCAATATCTATGTCCACCTGACTATTTAACAGAAGCGTTATGGCGCGTTCACAGTTTTTTTAATTACCTCAGTTACTTGATGTTCTACTTTATGTTCTACTATTAACACTATTAACGAATACATGTTAATTTGAATAATCAAAATACAGAACCACAATACAACAAGCAACAGTTGTTATGCCTTCTTCAGTGCCTTCTTAATAAACTTTATTTATTATTAACTATATTTAATAAAGTTTATTTAGCTTATTAAAGGGATAGTTCACCCCAAAATTTAAATTCTTAATAAACGATGACAGAATTTTCATTGTTGGATGAACTATCCCTTTAAACAGGACATTAGCCATCCAGCTGTGAATGCTACTGTACATTAAACTGTATTGTATGCCTTTTGTTTATTTTCAGATTAATCTTGCAATTATCAACCTCAAGGGGTTTATTTAGCGTTAATGACCAGCTCACTGTACATTATCCTGATAATTGCATGGCTACTAACCAAATGACAAATAAATGGATACTTCATGCATCATACTGCAGCTCAGGCAAGTTCTGATCACTGCATGAATGCAAGAAACACGCCTCAGATGGGATATTCAAATTACTCATTCGTTTCTGTCAAAAATGCAGCCAAAAAGGCAAAACAGAGAAATTAAATTGACTCCTTTACACGTAGATAACAAATCATAAATACTGTATTGGTTGGTAAGGTTTTTAAAAGAAGACATCTATTTTTATTGAAAATGCAGTAAAACAGTAATATTGTGAAATAACTGTTTTCAATTTTTATATATTTTAAAGTTTTATTCATTCGTGATTCAGTGATGGAAAAGCTGAATTTTTAGCAAGTCATTGTCACATGATCCATCAGAAATCATCCAAAAGTGGTAATTTGGTGCTCAAAAGAATCATCTTTTATTGTCAATGTTGGAAAATGTTTTTCATGATTCTTTGATGACTAGAAAGAACTGCATTTATTTTACATAAAAATATTATATAACTACATTTACCCTCTCTACAGCCGCATTATCACAGCACAGGCAACGCAATCACATCGCCACTAGTCTTCCTGTCCACTTCCTCTTCTGTTTTGTTCCCCCGAACCCTCTCTCTCCCTCCATGTCACCATATTCTCTTTCATCCATCTCACATACTCCCTTGTCTGTCTAGAGACTCCGTTTTTCTGCTTCTTTCCTTTCACTTTTTTTTAACATGCGCTGTCCATCTTCCCTCTGCTCCATCACTCTTTCCACGTTCCTCTTCTGTTTTTCTTTTTCTTTTTGTAGCACTCCACAGGATGGAGCAGATTTCACTCACCTGAAAGGATCATGGAGGGTTTTACTCACCTGTAGTCTTGTAAGCCTTCCTTATCCCTCATTGGAATTGTGTTACTGGCGAGAGAGAGAGATGGTAATAAATAAGTTATAGTTTAAAAAAAAAAGTTGCAAGCAAAGTATATGATAAAGTAGATGGTTCTTACAGGCATTCAGAATGTACACACAGAGAGGAAAATATATAGTCAGTTAGTCATTATTGCACCAAACTGGAAGAAGGGAAATAATATAATATAATATAATATAATATAATATTATATTTTAGTGAAAATTAAAATGTGTCCATTTTGAGAATAGTAGCATTGGCCAATATCTATGTCCACCTGACTATTTAACAGAAGCGTTATGGCGCGTTCACAGTTTTTTTAATTACCTCAGTTACTTGATGTTCTACTTTATGTTCTACTATTAACACTATTAACGAATACATGTTAATTTGAATAATCAAAATACAGAACCACAATACAACAAGCAACAGTTGTTATGCCTTCTTCAGTGCCTTCTTAATAAACTTTATTTATTATTAACTATATTTAATAAAGTTTATTTAGCTTATTAAAGGGATAGTTCACCCCAAAATTTAAATTCTTAATAAACGATGACAGAATTTTCATTGTTGGATGAACTATCCCTTTAAACAGGACATTAGCCATCCAGCTGTGAATGCTACTGTACATTAAACTGTATTGTATGCCTTTTGTTTATTTTCAGATTAATCTTGCAATTATCAACCTCAAGGGGTTTATTTAGCGTTAATGACCAGCTCACTGTACATTATCCTGATAATTGCATGGCTACTAACCAAATGACAAATAAATGGATACCAAATTTTTTTTAGAAATTATGTGAGAAGAAAGAGACCATAAGTCAATTATAGTTTAGCTTCCATTGTGCAAAGATATCTGACCACAGAGTGCTGCGACTGGCTAATTAGAATAAAGTATTCCAGAAGGTTGTGTACTAAGCACTAATAGATTGGTGGTTTGTGCTAGCAGATCATATTCAAGAGCAGGAGGACACAGCTGTGAGAAGTGACTTTTATTTCATGGGCAGATGCTCACAATAATACTGCTCTGTCATCTGTAGAGAGCATGAGTTAGTGTGTATGCCTGGTGCTGGCATGTGTACAAGTCAACACATGACACAACTACTGAGGTCAAATGACCACATTCATCTTCTGTCACAGACGGACAGGAAAAAGACCAGGGGAACAGTATGCTGCCCATGACTAAATGCAGCATTTCCTCAATCACTCTTCACCAGAGTGGCAGAATATACTGTGCCACAACACAAGAAATTATATTTTTTACATATTTGTTTGGCAGGGTTGGGTAGGGTTAAAAGGCCAGGGTTAAGGTTATGACAAAATGAAATCGCATACAGATAGTTGTGATCTGGCTACATTTTCAATCTCCTTCAGTTTTGCACTTTGAATTGAACATGAGACAAAAAGACTTGTATCACAAAATAAATGCCAGGACAACATGTCGGGCTATTGTGTTGTTTAAAAAAAAAAAAACAGTATGACAAGTGTAGCCCGGTTCACGGACAAATGAACATTATTGGTTTGACGTTGTATGAAGAATCCTTTACTAAATGTACTCATTGAATCAGATTGGTATCTGACTTGCACTGACTTTTGAAAGAAGTCTCTTTTTAATATATTTTCATATATTTTTAAATGTAGTTTATTCCTGTTATGGAAGCAGCCATTACTCCAGTCTTCAGTGCCACATAATGATCCTTCAGAAATTATTCTAATTTGGTGCTCAAGAAACAATTCTTATGCTGCTTAATATTTTCATGGAAACTGTGATTTTCTTTCTTTTCCGACATTTTTTCAGGATTCTGTGTTGAACAGCAGGTTCAAAAGAACAGCATTTATTTGAAATAGATTTTTTTTAAACTATGTAAAAATCTTTATCGTCACAGTTGAAATTATCCTTGCTGAAAAAGAAAGAAAAAAAAAAAAAAAACTGACCTGACTGTTTTAAACAGTAGAGTACCTAATGAAGTCTTGACTTTTAGTAATCTCCAGCTCAATTCATAGTAATAATATGTGAATCTTTAATTAGTAACATGCATTGATTTTTAACAAGTTTTTTTTGTAATTAATAACATTTTAATTTTTTTAAATAATCAAAACATTAAATTATGAAATAAATCTTTAAAACATGTTTCCAAAATTGTATTTTTGGTATTGTACTGTATTCTTATTTGGGTGGTTTGAACTGTTTAAAGGTAGTAGAGGGGGCTCCTCTTCTGTTAGAAACACTGTCTAAACCTGAAGCTGAGGCTCAGTGTGTGTAATGTGAAACTCAATGTATATGATCAGCCATGAGACACTAGACATTTAATCTGACATGAATAATTTTAAGTGGCTGTGGGTTTAAAATGCAATAAGGAACCAATATAGAATGTGAGACTCAAGCCAAGTAAAACACAGATCCTCTAACTGCATTGCTCTGTTCCGATTGATATCACAGGAGAATGCAGTGCTTGTAGAAATATGCCTGTTCTGGGCCTCCTTACCCAGATTTGCTGTCAAATGCTCGGGTCTCATTAAGAACCTTCCCAGCGCTCTGTAGAACCTCCATCTGTCTCTGGATCTCGTAGTCTATGGAACATGTACCAAGAGAGAGCCAATCAAACTCTAACCACAACCTTCTGCCAACAAAAGACCCTAAAGTACTTCTGAAATGGTTGCACATCAGCATTTTTCCTCATGACTGCTTAAACGAGCTTTTGGGGGGGTTTGTTTCTACCAAAGACTGTTCTGTGGTAGAAAACCTCTGGTAATCCTTTAGTTTTATTACAGTGTACAGTATAATAGCTGTCTGTACAAGAAATCAAAACACAATGTATTAAAGGGGTCTGTAATGTTGCTGTTTGAGCATAAAAAAGATCTGCAAAGTTACAAAGCTCAAAGTTCATTTCAAAAAGAGATATTTTATTTAACAGAAATCACTTTTCAAAAACTACAACGAACGACTCATTTGGACTACAACGCATATTTTCCGGGATTTGTGATATCACAAATACCGACGAATGGGACGAGACCTGGTTGAGCTGCACTAGAGAAGGCAACGAGTGTTATCACTAGAGCCCGACCGATATATCGTTTTGCCGATATGAGCCTGTCGCGATATATCGGTATCGGCGAATATGCCGCCGATAAGAAATTTTTTTTAGCGATCATCCGGGTTTAAATCGCGCTCAAATTGATTTGATTTTGACGCAATATTTACACTGAAGCTCGCAGGCAGTTATGGTAAGGGCCATGACATTTCCTGACCAGGCGCCGAGTGCTGCCAATCACAACACACACTGGCCCAGCTAACCAATCACAGCACATTGCGTATTTCAGAAGGCGGGCCTTCATTTGATACAGGAACTATTCGAGCCGTTCATGCCAGATTGGGGAGAGAGGTGTTGTAATAATATAAAAATATGTGAAAAATTATGTGTTTTTCGAACAACCTAGTGTATGGGAGCCTGTTCTAGTACACCCCAAAACAAAATCAAGACTTTGTAAAAGAGCATAATAGGACCCCTTTAAATATTCATTAAATTGTATAACTTTCTCTTTTAGGGAACATTGTAAAATAGGGTTAAAAGAATCATGTCATACTCAGCGATTAAATATTTTCCTGTTTTCCCTGTTTACTCTCTCTTATTGACAGCACTATTTAATCTTCTCGTCCTTGACAGGCATGTTTATGTGGGTCTTCAACACTCATTATTTTCTTGGATCAGCTCAGTCAGATTTCCTTTTGAGTGAAACTCCTGGTTTCAAAAACACAACTTGGTGATTGAAATTATTGTGATATGTGTGTGTATGTGTGTTTCATCAGCAGAGATGATGGCTTCTGCAGCCTTTATTCAACAGTGCACATCTTGACAGAGCACTTAACACTAGACAGAGACGGAGTGAGGTGAAAATGCTTATTGTTCATGTTGCTTATCTGGAGTTTGCAGTTTGACTTTCAGCTCTGGCATAATTGCACAGAGACACTCATTCCCTCCAACTGATGCCAGGCTAAATCTGACAACCACACAAGAAAAGTGACTTCCAGCTATTTCTAAAGCGCGTGAGTGTGTGTGAATACCAATGCAGCATGATTAAAAGATTTCTGAAACGCACTGGCTGAAAGTGCACTTCATTCCCTCGACACGTCTTGCTGTACAGAGGAATGGCAAAGAGATTTTACTGTACACTTGTACTTAAACTAGAAAAGACCTTCTTTAAACCAGAAGGGAGATCTTGATATCCATAAAATTCTTTCTCAGTATCAGTTGGACACATATTCTTACTTACCTATGGCTTTAGCCAGGTGCCTCACACTGTTGATATTTTTGACCTCTGTCCTCACTCCCAAAGGCTCTCCAGGTCGATGCACGGACACGTTGGCATCAACTCTAAGCTGCCCCTCTGTGAGAAGAGAGAAAAAGGGATCTGATATGAGAATCACTCCAAACAGTCATTACAATTCAACCATCCACAGCTCTCAAAACCCCTGCTTAACAAACACTGCATACATTTGAATTTGAATGATTTATTTGCATGAAATACTGTATTCTGGAGTGCCCTGTGCACCGCTGAATAGTCTGCACCAGATAAACAATTTGCTGTATTTTGCTTCAGGGGGTTTTGATTAAACAAAAGCTATTGAATTTTTCATCACAGGAAGACAATAGGTTGATTGAGCAGTGACTCTTTAAGAAGGGTTGAGAAACAGGTCAGTTATTTTCTCATTTGAATTTGTGTCTCCTACACAAACACTACATTTTATCAATGTTCTTACTTAAAGTGTGTAATTGAAACTATGACTCACTCATATTAAAGGGTTAGTTCACCCAAAAATGAAAATTCTGTCATTAATTACTCACCCTCGTGTTGTTCGAAACCCGTAAGACATCCGTTCATCTTCGGAACACAAATTAAGATATTTTTGATGGAATCTGACAGCTCTCTGACCCTCCCATAGACAACAAGGGTACTACCACGATCAGCGTCCAGAAACGTAGCAAGGAGATCGGTAAAATAATCCATGTGACATCAGGGGTCCAACCGTAATATTTCAAAGCTACGAGAATACTTTTTGTGCGTCCTTGACAGGCATGTTTATGTGGGTCTTCAACACTCATTATTTTCTTGGATCAGCTCAGTCAGATTTCCTTTTGAGTGAAACTCCTGGTTTCAAAAACACAACTTGGTGATTGAAATTATTGTGATATGTGTGTGTATGTGTGTTTCATCAGCAGAGATGATGGCTTCTGCAGCCTTTATTCAACAGTGCACATCTTGACAGAGCACTTAACACTAGACAGAGACGGAGTGAGGTGAAAATGCTTATTGTTCATGTTGCTTATCTGGAGTTTGCAGTTTGACTTTCAGCTCTGGCATAATTGCACAGAGACACTCATTCCCTCCAACTGATGCCAGGCTAAATCTGACAACCACACAAGAAAAGTGACTTCCAGCTATTTCTAAAGCGCGTGAGTGTGTGTGAATACCAATGCAGCATGATTAAAAGATTTCTGAAACGCACTGGCTGAAAGTGCACTTCATTCCCTCGACACGTCTTGCTGTACAGAGGAATGGCAAAGAGATTTTACTGTACACTTGTACTTAAACTAGAAAAGACCTTCTTTAAACCAGAAGGGAGATCTTGATATCCATAAAATTCTTTCTCAGTATCAGTTGGACACATATTCTTACTTACCTATGGCTTTAGCCAGGTGCCTCACACTGTTGATATTTTTGACCTCTGTCCTCACTCCCAAAGGCTCTCCAGGTCGATGCACGGACACGTTGGCATCAACTCTAAGCTGCCCCTCTGTGAGAAGAGAGAAAAAGGGATCTGATATGAGAATCACTCCAAACAGTCATTACAATTCAACCATCCACAGCTCTCAAAACCCCTGCTTAACAAACACTGCATACATTTGAATTTGAATGATTTATTTGCATGAAATACTGTATTCTGGAGTGCCCTGTGCACCGCTGAATAGTCTGCACCAGATAAACAATTTGCTGTATTTTGCTTCAGGGGGTTTTGATTAAACAAAAGCTATTGAATTTTTCATCACAGGAAGACAATAGGTTGATTGAGCAGTGACTCTTTAAGAAGGGTTGAGAAACAGGTCAGTTATTTTCTCATTTGAATTTGTGTCTCCTACACAAACACTACATTTTATCAATGTTCTTACTTAAAGTGTGTAATTGAAACTATGACTCACTCATATTAAAGGGTTAGTTCACCCAAAAATGAAAATTCTGTCATTAATTACTCACCCTCGTGTTGTTCGAAACCCGTAAGACATCCGTTCATCTTCGGAACACAAATTAAGATATTTTTGATGGAATCTGACAGCTCTCTGACCCTCCCATAGACAACAAGGGTACTACCACGATCAGCGTCCAGAAACGTAGCAAGGAGATCGGTAAAATAATCCATGTGACATCAGGGGTTCAACCGTAATATTTCAAAGCTACGAGAATACTTTTTGTGCACAAAAGAAAAAACAATTCAACATTTCGTCTCCTCCGCATCACCCTAGCACCATTTTGGAGAGTATCCACTGAATGCACACAGCGTATGTTGTTCTGTGTCAGCCAGGGTTGCCAGTTTTTCACAAGAAAACCCGCCCAATCGCTACTCAAAACTAGCCCAATTGCGTTTCTAGGGGGTCCCCAGTTAAAAATTGTGTTCCAGGGGGTGAAATACACGTTTTTTTGGCAGGGTCCCCCTGCTAAAATTCGCATTCCAGGGGATAAATATCATGTTATTGGAGTCGCTTCAAACCCGCGGACATGAAAAACAGCCTGTGGCAACAGTGTTAAAGTAGCACAATTCCGTGGGAAAACCGTGGACTTGGCAACACTGGTGTCCGTGTGGTGCGGCTGACACAGAACAACATACGCTGTTTGCGTTCAGTGGATACTCTCTAAAATGGCGCTAGGATGACGCGGAGGAGACAAATTGTTGAATAAAGTCGTTTTTTTTTTTTCTTTCTTTGCACACAAAAAGTATTCTCGTAGCTTCGTAATATTACGGTTGAACCCCTGATGTCACATGGATTATTTTCAAAGATCAAAGATCTCCTTGCTACGTTTCTGGACCTTGATCGTGGTAGTACCCTTGCTGTCTATGGGAGGGTCAGAGAGCTCTCGGAATGCATCAAAAATATCTTAATTTGTGTTCCGAAGATGAACGGAGGTCTTACGGGTTTAGAACGACATTAGGGTGAGTAATTAATGACAGAATTTTCAATTTTGGGTGAACTATCCCTTTAAGTTTCAAGAATTCAAACATCTCAGTGCATTCAAAATACAAATACTAGTGAAGTTGGAAACGGGGAAAAAGTTAACTCATTGGTGAAGCATAGAGTGACCATTGGTGAAGGAGGCTCACTACAGTCCTTTTGTGGTATACGGTCATTTGGCCCTGACAGTATACATACAATACCCAGACTTTAAATTTAAATTTATTTAAATGTATTCAATAGAGATGATTTTTAGATTGGGATTCATAAAAAAGTTTTGGAACATTTGCTCATTTGCAATACATCTTTAAAGCATTTCTGGACAGTTGTTAGAATGGCATTCAGCAGGTACAGCATTTCTGCAATATTCCTGATTAATGACATATGTGAGGCCACATCGGTTTATTAGATATCTGAACACAAAAATTAATGTAAGTAAATTTTATTTATATAGCACATTTCAACATAGCAAAGCTATCCAAAGTGCTTAACAATGTAAAATCAAATTAAAAGAGAAAAGGAAACACAGAAAAGAATAAAAAAAAGACAGACAATAACACAACAATGAATGAAAATTAAAATGCTAAGGAGACATGATACGTTTTCAACCTCGATTTAAAAATGGTAATGGAAGGTGCAAGGCGGCAGTCTAAAGGCAATTGGTTCCACAGACGGGGGGCAGTGACTGAAAAGGCTCTGTCACCCTTAGTTTTCAAACGGGAACGAGGGACAGATAAAAGAGCCCTGTCAGTGGATCTTAAAAGTCTGGTCGATGACAAAGGGATAATAAGGTCTTTAAGATAAGATGGAGCTTGATTGTTTAGAGCTTTAAAAACAAACAACAGAATCTTAAACTGAACTCTAAAATGGACCGGAAGCCAGTGAAGCGAAGCTAAAATTGGAGTGACATGGTCATATTTCTTTGCCCCAGTCAGCAGCCTTGCAGCTGCATTTTGTACCAACTGGAGGCGTGAAAGCGATGACTGAGGAAGACCTGAGTACAGTGAATTACAGTAATCTAAACGTGAGGTAATAAAAGCATGAATAGCCTTCTCCAAATCTTGAAAAGACAAAAATGATTTAAGTTTGGAGATGACCTGTAATTGATAAAAACTGTTCCTAACGACAGTTCCTAACGAGTTGCCTTTAATGTGCAAGGCTTTCCTCATGATGCACTCGTTAATTGAAATCTTGGTGACGTATAGAATACTGTCTACTGGGCTAGTCGATATATTGAATATAGTGATGTCAAACGACAATAAAAGTTTTTGTTTAGAGAATATATGTGTGTGTACTGTGTATATTTATTATGTATATATAAATACACACACATGCATGTATATATTTAAGAAAAATATGTTATGTTTATATATTAAATATATTTATATATAATATAAATTATAGGAATATAAATATATACATGTAAATATTTTCAAAATATATACTGTATGTGTGT